GGAGTGGCCACTGCACTCCAGTCTGGGCGACCGAGTGAGACTCCAACTCAAAAAAAAAGAAATCCAAGGTCCACAGCATATGCCAATGCTGGTGTGACTCACCTCACCTCCAGCCTCTCCAGCCTCATCTCAGACTCCTTCCCAGATACTGTACCTACTCCCACGTCCCCCAGGGCCTGGATCTTAGCTCCCCTCACTCACACCCTCTCTCCTGAGGGAACTGGCCCTTCCGTGTGCTGTCGACCCCCAGATCTCTCTCTCTAGCTCTCTCTGCCCCCAGATCTCTCTCTACCCCAGTGAGCTCTCCTGGACTCTCCTAGGCACCACAAATCCACATGGCCTAACTGGACTCCCACTTTCCCTACCTAATCCACTAGTTTTCCAATAAATGGCCTTCCACCCTCAGTCAAAGGCATCTGCTTCTCCCTTCTCTCACTCCCACATCCAATCACCGAGCCCTCTTTCTTCCACCTAAGCTCTTGCCACTCTGTGGATCATGTACCAGGAGCATCAGTGTCACTAGGGCTTGTTAAAAATACAGGTTCTTGCGCCCTCCCCACACCTGAGAATTGGAATCTGCCCTTTAGCATGATCCCTGGGAGATTCCTCTGCACCAGAGGAGCAGCGTGAGAAGCCCCAGGCCTGTTTCCAGTCTCCAGTGCATCCCCTCAGCCCCAGCCCTGCTATACCCCAGCTCCTGGCCTCCCTTTCCTCTTGCTACAGCTGACCTTCCTGCCTCCTGGGAAACCCCTAACCTCTCTTCACCAGCAGCCATGAGGCCAGCCCCATCACCGCCATCCTGCCTCCCTTTACCTACCCTCCACTGAGCTCCGCCTTCCCTCCAGAGGCCCTGCCTCTTTTCTCCTAACTGCCCTGGCACCAACTTTCCTTTGTCTGGGGCATCTTTCTCCCACCCACCCTCACCCCTTTGCTGGCTGAATCCAACCGTCCATCAGTTCAGTTTTCTCTTTCCTGACATCCCAGGCAGGGCAGCATCTGTCTCGTTCACCACCGTATCCCTTGCACCAGGCCATGCCTGGTATGAATCCCTGAATGAGCAACTTAGCATCCCCTACTCACCCTGGGAGGCCCCTCCTACAGACCAGGCTGGTCACACCCTTTCCCCTGCCCCTTGTAGGGGACACCCCCACCACACTTCACTGCTGCCAGGGGAGAGGGACTGTGTCTATCCTGGTGTCCAGATTCAGCAGTGGAAACGCAAGACAGGGGCTGACTCCTGCCAGGGTTGACATAGGCCCAAAGCCACACAGCTGTCCTGGGGAAGGGGGGTGTGGGAGAAGCTGCCGTACTTGTTGTCTGCGATGCTGTACACCTCAGCAGAGCTGGTCAGCCCTGTGTCAGTGACTCCTGTCGCTACAAAGATGCGGCCGTCATGGACGGTGGCCCCAAAGAGTGAGCGGGCAGTCTGCATGGGTGCCAGCTCCTTCCACTCGAACTTTTTGGGGTCATAGACACACATCTTGTTCAGGCACTTCCTGTGGGGTGAGGGGCAGAGAGTGAGCAGAAGCAGGGCCAGAGCCACCCCTCTCTCCGCCCCTCCCAGGGCAGCCAGGACAACCCCCCAACAGCCTCGGGGGGATTCTGCAGACTCCCTCCAGACCAAGCCTCACCTGTCGCTGCCTTTGCCGCCAATGACGTAGACGAGGTCCATATGGGAGAGTACTGCGTGGCCATACACGGCGTAAGGCAGCGAGTCCGATTCGCCCCACTTGAACGACCTGGACGGGACCGGAGGGGACGCGGGTGCCCGGCTCAGGCGTGCATCAGTGCGGGTCTCTGCATTCACCCTCCCACCTCACACATATTCGGGGTGCACCGATTCGCTACGGGAACTTTCCCAGCCCTCTCGATTCCTGGCTCCCGTCCCACCTCCCGGCCGCCCCG